GGCAGAGATAGCTCTGCTGGAGGCCCGCAGCGCTGCTGCTGCTTCGCCAGGTACTTGCTGCTGCTGCAGCGCAGCAGCAGCAACAGCAGCAGCAGCAGCAGCAGCAGCAACAGCAGCAGCAGCAGCAGCAGCAGCAACAGCAGCAGCAGCAGTTACAACAGCTGTTGCGACTAGTAGTGTAGTTGCACTGAACCCCCAACAATGCATTCCTGCTGCTGCTGCTGCTAGTGCTGCTGCTGCTACTACTACTACTATTGTTGCTGCTGCTGCTGTTACTGGTACTGTTGCTGCTGCTACTACTGATGCTGCTGTTGCTGCTGCTGCAGCTGCTGCTGCGGAGATGATAGAAATAATAATCCTGCTGCTTCTGTGCTGCTACCAATGCTGTGCTGCTGCGCTGCTGCTGAGGTACTTTGCTGCATTGCTGCTGCTGCTGCTGCTGCAGCTGCTGCTGCTGCTGGAACTGTTGCTGCTACTGCTGCAGGGGAAAATGCCGTTGCTGCTGCTGCTGTGGAGACACCTGCTGCTGATGCTGCTGGGGAGACAGGGGCCCTGAGTTTGCTGCTGCAGCAGATGGCAAGTCTCCTGTTCTGCTTCACCTTCTCCTACCCTCAGCAGCAGCAGCAGCAGCAGCAGCAGCAGCAGCAGCAGCAGCAGCAGCAGCAGCAGCAACAGCAGCAGCAACAGCAGCAGCAGCAACAGCAAACTGTAATGCCTATCTGAGCAGAGAGCGGCGCATGAAGTGCCCATGTGTAGTTGTTGTTGCTGCTGCTGCTGCTGCTGTTGCCGCTGCTGCTGCTGCTGTTGCTGCTGCTGCTGCTGCTGTTGCTGCTGCGTTGCAGCTAGCCGCTGATCCCCAAGAGCCTTCCCCCCCTAACATCACGCCCCCTTCCGCAGCAGCAGCAGCAGCAACAGCAGCAGCAGCAGCAGCAGCAGAAGAGACTCCTGCTGCTGCTGCTGCTGCCTGCCCCTCGCTGCAGTGCTGCCAGCAGCTGCTGCAAGAGATATGTGTGCTGCAGGAGGAGACAGATGAGGCTCTTAGCCTTTGTTCCGCTCTAAACCCTAAACCCTAAACCCTAAACCCTCGGTTGGGGGCCCCCACAGGGCCCCTGGGGCCCCCCTGCTGCGAGACGAGCGGCTGTCTCTTTGTCTCTATCTCTCTCTAAACCCTAAACCCTAAACCCTAGGCACGCATTTGCGTTCTACGTCGCCTTTCTGCTTGCTTGTTTCTGGGTCGTCACAAAACCCTAAACCCTAAACCCTAAGCCTAAACCCTAAACCCTAAACCCTAAACCCTAAACCCTAGTGAGGCCCTAGGCCCCACAAGAGAGAACTAAACGGAATATCCACGCCTTCACCCGCAAACCCTAAACCCTAAACCCTAGCTCGACTCTAAAAAACTCCTCGTCACCAAACCCTAAACCCTAACCCCGGCTAAACCCTAAACCCTAAACCCTAAACCCTAAACCCTAAACCTTAAACACATTTTAGCCACCATGGGCGCCTGTTGAGTTGGATTGCTCCTCCGCAACCCTAACCCCCAAACCCTAAACCCTAGCCCCCAAACCCTAAACCCTAAACCCTAAACCCTAAACCCTAAACCACTAGACGCAGTGGTTGATGGTGCCAGTACACCGCATTCAAGCCCCTACAAAAAACCCCAGCAGCAACACTATACACCCCAGGAGCACAAGCCATCAGCGACAAACTATGGCAGAGCACAGCTCCTCTCTTCTTCATCTTCTCTATCAACAAATCTCCTTTCTTTTCACCCCTAGTACCCACATTAGGGGCCCCTGGGGGGCCCCCGAGGGGGCCCTGGGGGGCCCCCCTTAGGGGGGCCCCCTCGAAGGGGGGCCCCCTAGATAACCCTCGCGCAACTGGTGCGGGGGCCCCCGGGGGGCCCCCCGCAGCTGCGGCTTGGTGGCGATGCTGCGCACGGAGAGAACTTGCTGGGGGCAGGGGGGCCCCCAGCTCTGCTGTGAGGGCCCCCGACCATAGGAGGCCCTCGGGTACTGTGTTGCTGCCGTGAGAGAAAGGAGACAAAAGGAGACAGCAGTTGTCTAGGGGTGTCTCCGTTCTGTTCTCTATGAACACGTGCAGAGTTAGAGCCTCTGCTATGCCCACCTGCAGGTGTACATACACCCCAATATAATACAAACACACTGCAGCAGCAGCAGCAGCAGCAGCAACTCCAGCAGCAGCAGCAGCAGCAGCAGCAAGAACACATGCAGCAGCAGCAAGACAAAAATAGAACAAACACCAGCAGGGAAAACTGCAGCAGCAGCAACTACACAGACAAACAAACAGCAGCAGCACCTGCACGCACGGATGAACAGCCGCAGCAGCAACAGCAGCAGCAGCAGCAGCAGCAGCGGCAGCAGCAGCAGCAGCAGTAGAAGGGGGTACTTACAACGAAGCAGTCTGTCTTTTGCCCTATGAAGGAGGGGGCCCTCTGCAGGGGGGCCCCCTCAAGGGCCCCCGGGTGTACGAGCGGCCCCGTTTGGTGTGTATGTACACCTGCTGCTGCTGCTGCTGCTGCTGCTGCTGCCGGTGCACTGCGCACGAGGCGGAGGTGCAGCAGCACCTGAAGGAAAGCAAACAGACAGAAGCTG